ATGATAATATTTCAAAATGAAAACTACATGTGACTGACTATAGTACTTTTAGATCTCAATGTACCTACCTGAAAAATCGGATTCCTTCGTCTCTCGATGCATTTTTAGTGCATTGTGCAAAAGCACGATTCGTATGCCAAAACAATTGTGAAAAACTATTTTAATCCTTTGTAGACAAATAAGAAAAGTGAGGTTGTGTCTCTATGGTCGGTCATCTGACAGATCTTGCCCGCAACCTATACTTTGTTGAGGTTATCTTTTGGCAGTTTTTGAAAAATATAGATTTTTTGGTATTGATCTATCTAGAAGTCGGTTGTGGAACGCCAGACGACAGTCCTGCGATTTCTGTGTTTCTACAGCTGCCTTACAATCTATATTTCTCGTAAATTGACAAAGATAACCCTAATAAAGTATACATACTGATTAGAAAAATGAAATACAGGGTGTCCCATTTTTCAATACTGCATTATTCTCTATTTGAACGGTTCTGTGAGACCAATATGAACTGAGATAGCTATCGAGTAAAATATATACAGTCACCCTATACTTCCTGCAAAATGGGACAAGAATTAGAGGACCTGACAACAATGCTCGTATCGTAAGGATTACTCGAAGAGCCTAAAAAATCAAAATAAGTTCTCGAATTAAGCAAAATATGGATTGAAGATATCTATCGAGAAATTTAAACAAAGAATCTTGAATAGGTAGGTATTTTCGTGAGAATTCCAATATGAAAAATAATCAAGTATTAATTATTGGTTGGACCACGCTGACACTTTTTTCCAGTTCTGTTTACGGCGACCATATCCAGGAATTCTCCAGATCCGAGAAAAATCTCGAGGCCCGGCAACACCGCCTGCTCGAGGGTCACTCGAAGGGCCCGCCGCTGTCGTTACGCAACGCTAGGCGGCGAAGAGCTCGCCGTTTTTCGGTGTACGGAGAGGCCCGCGACGGGCCGCAATGCGGGACGCTACCGCGCAGCCGCCGGCCTTTCGGCAGCCTTGGCAATGAACTTGACTCGCGCACCGCTCGCGGTCGATATCGCCATGGATTATATCGCGCTGGTGCAGTGTTGCCGCCGTTGAAAATTTATCACCAGATTTGGAGATTTTTCTGTCAATTTGGTGATTCATTATTTTTCAACTGTGAAATCACAGAAATCTGGTGATTTTTTGCATAGATCCCCGTCGTTGATATTACGCTAGTAGAGTCTTAAAGAGAGAAGAAGCAGAGTGAAAACCTAACCTTTAATTCAATTCAGATTCCTTACAATCAACGGCATGAACCAACAGAAACTATTTTGTGAAATCTGGTGGTAAATAATGGTTCTTATTCCATTGATCTTATAACGAGAAGGCGGCGTTGCCGATGTCGCTACTATTTCCCCAGAAATGTGACCATGGTGAGATTCCATCATTCCCCACGATATTACTATAGTATTTCAGACATGATTGAAGCAGCATTATCAAAGTTATGAACAAATCTATAGATAGTGATATTCTTTCGACCTGAACTGAAATATTCCACTAGAACAGAACTGAATTAATTAACATGCGATCTTTCGAAAGACTAAACTTCAATGCGATGTCCAGTTTGAGTGAAATATTTCAGTTAGTTCAGAACGAAAGAATATCGCTCATGATGTCCATCCAGAAAATTCATATTTATGCTGGGTGATTAATATGAGACATTGAACAATTGGACAGGGTGGTAAAAGTAGAAATTCATTCTGCATTTGAATGCAGTCATATCCATCTACTTATGTTGAAAATACTTAATATACACTTAGGTAGTGGAGAATATCATTATTACACAGGGACCGAGGCTTCAGCCAAGTGATATTATTGTACCTATATACTAAATTCGTGTGAATTCCTGCGAATCTCGTATCAGAGGTACATTGGCGTGCAAATCAATGGACCTAGGTATCAGATCGAGTATCTGTGATAGTCTATATGGATTCAATCTGATTCAATCATTTCATGGCCTCCTGTGATCAGAATTACGTAACAAAAATCAGGAACTAAATTAGGAATTATTTTATTTCGAAAACTGCTTGAATCTATTTGTTCAGGTCTCAAAAACCAACAGAAAGAATTTCATCAATTTCATGTATAGGGTGGGACAATTAGGAAACTTTTGAAGGACAGTATACTATACTCAATTCCGAACTGTGAGAACTGTAATAGTATTTTGACAAAGGCAATATACACCCTTCTCATTTCAAACCTTTTATATGTATATGGGTAACGATATGGCCCTTCTTTTTATCCTGTTTCAACCAATTTTCTGCGAGAAAATCAAGGTGATTAATTGATTGGTTTCCAATTAATGAAATTTCAATAGATTTGTTTCCATCTGATGAAGTTTTTCAATAATATTTTCCTCCTCTCCAAGTCGACTGTGAAATTTGTTTTGAGAAAAATATAGAATATTGTTCAACGAGCACAATCATACAAGTGGGAAATTAGCATTCCGTGCGAATTAAACACTATACTTTTTCTACGGCTGTAACAGATAACAGCGAAATAGGCATCTGATTTCCTCGTAAGCAATGCTCTTTTATAGGCAGAGCTGAAATTGAAGACATCATACAATGTATACCTCATTGATTTATAGAAACTAGTAAAACAAGAGCAGTTTTGTGACTGAAATGTGGAACTATGTCACTATAAAAGCACTTCTTTTCAATTCTTGATTGCAATCTAGTCACCATGACAGCATATGACAAACAGTGAATTCGGGTTGATTACAACAGAGATGGCTATGTCTTTATTGACTAAAGTGGTTAATAATATGACGAAAACTACCTTGGTAGTAAAAATACACTTTACGCCTTCAAAGGGAGTAAATAATGGTATAGGTTCTATAGCTAGTGGTGGAAAAAATACTATATAGGTAACACTTCACGACACTAAACAAAATGTTGCACGTTTATGGAGAAACATAAAATAATGTTCTCTTACAGAATTCAACATATTTTCCACACCCTTCCCCAACAAAACTTACAAGCACGCAATATCGATCACAACACAAAAATTATTAATAGCCATCCCCCTATACCCTCCCAACCCCCAACAACCACCAACATACCTCTCTCAATACAACAACAGGTTTCACTGCGACCATATCGGAAAACCACAAGGAAACCATCGACTACACCGTGAGTCTCCGACTGGACAACAAAATGGAAAGATTTCCTTGTGGAAAGCAGGGAAACGGTCGGAAAATCGTTCCGTTGCCCAACCGAACTAACACCCACGCTCGATTCGAGATCGAAGCGAGAGAGAGAGATAGCCAGCTAGGAGAGAAAGAGAGGGAGGTATGGAAGGAAACCCCGAGTTTTCACCTACAAAGGTCGAAGGTCAACACGTAGGCCATAATATGTGTCAAACGGGACATGATGAAGACGAGAAGTATTTCTAGATAACTAGAGACTTTGTTTTCAAATTTTCAATGTTCTAGTGTTGTCAACTCTAAATCTATACTAATACAGGGTGTCTCGAAATTAGCCTGATGAACTTCACCAGCGGCTTCTATGACCAAAAAGAGGAAGAACAGTTTCAATGAACATGAATATTTCCGAAACGATGCAATTGCTGAAAGTGCATTCCAAAAACTTAGCTTTCTGTTTCGGGCCAGGAGCTATTTCAGTTCCAGTCAGCTGCTTATGATCTATAAGGCACAGATCCGACCTGTCCTGGAATATTGTTCCCATATTTGGAGTGCAGCACCCAAACATACCCTGAAACTGTTTGATTCTGTCCAAAAAAGGGCAATTCGTCTCGTGGGTGATGCTTCGCTCACAAACTCACTCACTTCTCTGGAACACTGTAGAAAAGTTCGCGATCTGGCTCTATTTTATACATATTTTCATGGACGATCCTCTTCTGATATATATCAGCAATTGTTCCTCCCTTGGCAGTCCCCGCGAGATTAACCCGTCGAGTTGAGGCTTCGCACCCCTTCGTGGTAGGTAACTTTGGAGACCTGCAGAACATCTCTTTCTAAAGACTCGTTCATCCAACGAACAGCGACGCTATGGAAAACATTGCCAAGGGCTCGTGGTTCATCATCTTGCCACTAACTCGTATGAAATAACTCATTTTCTGCACTTGTTGAATAATATACTATAAACTTTCAAATTATATTTTGATTTTAGGCGACCCCCAAACGTACTCCAAACTGAAATATGATCAGTACGCTGGATTCCTCTTTCAACCAGCTTTCCAATAATGAGGAGTCGCAAGCCATATGGTTGCATTTGAAAAAAAAATTTTTGGGGTTGATTCCAGTTACTTCTGAAGGGTTATATTCTCCATTTTGCTCACCAAATGTCGGTAAATACATTCAAACGTTGACTTGCCTCTCGAATTCTCAGAAAAATTATTAACCTCCCCCCCCTCCAGTAGCGAATTTATTCCAGTTGAAGTCTCCACCCTGTATAGGTCTGAGGTAGGTATTTTTGTTGTCTGGTAAAGAAAAAAGAAAGAGTTCTATTTCTCCTCATTTTTTTTTCAATAGCCGAGAAGAAAACAAAGCTTGATCGATAGCAAGCTATTTTATATTTGTTCAGTCCGACTCAATGTCAAACGAGATTCAACCATCAGCCTGTTATCCATCAAAAAGGCAAATATTTGCTCAACAAGGAGCATAATATACTGAGTTCTATTATATGCTCGATTATATGGTATACAAACAAAACCTATTTTGTTCTGGATAAATCATCTCAATAATTAACGTTCGGGTTCTGATGATATTGTATACAGTTCAAATATCAACAAGCATAATAACAATTATATTAGGAATAATATCATTCAACATATAGATCAAGACTCATCTTTGACTTTTTCTGAAACAACATGCAACATTGATGCATGAAAACACGACAGGTGCCCTTACGAGGAAAGTGTAACAGGAGTCTGTGATCATTTGTTTGAAACTGTTTTCGAAACATTCTTCGTATCGTTTGTATATGGAAATAAATATATCATGCTCACCTAATTCCATGGGGTATAGCCATGAATTCACGTCCAGGATAAGATCCATTTTGAAAGATTCGCTTTCACAATGCAGTCGGCTCACTGAAACAAAAAGAATAAGGTTAGATGTTTCTAATTATCATTTCGGATAAAACTTGTCAATGGGTCAACTGACTTCGCAACTCTCACAAGACAAATAATGATGAATGAGTGTTTCCAAAATTAGAGTGAGAAATGAACCAGAGCGTTTGCCTTCGACCCTCAATAATACACTTGTCCTCTACCATCTGATGATATAGTAGGACTCCACCGTTTTTTCGGCAATTTCCAATAATGTATTTTCAAATCCTTTCATGATTTTTGTGTGTGTACTACAGATATTATTTTGTTGTACGGTTTCGAGTACGTTCTATTCAGTGCTTAATAATTCGTTTTTGAGATGATTTTGTGTTTTCTAACCGTTTCTTGAAATTAGTTGGAAGATAGTTTGATAAACACTGTTGATTTGATATATGTTTTAAATAAGTGGAATGCTCCTTACTGATTATAATAAATTGGAATAAAAAAAAGAGAACCGTCTATAAGGATAAAACAGTTGAATTTTTCAACAAATATAGCATGACGTTTCAGTTTACTGCACAACCGACACAGTTAATTGGTAATTGGCTCAATTTCGGTTCAATCGTGAAACTTATTCTGCGAAATCCTTGAGAATAATTCGATTCGAATCAACACCGTTTTTTTTTTATTTTCTTTTCATCATATAGGTACCAAATTGATACTTTACTGATAGGAAGAAATCGGAACATTCTGAAAATGAATATTTTTTGACGCAAAATGGCGTGTTCACTCCGTGCATATTAATTATCTTAGTAGGTAGAGCGTGGGATATATTACACCACTTTGACGTTTTTCCCTTTGACTTATTTTGGCAGGAAATCATTGATGACAGTCTCTACGGGGGGGATAAGAGGGAAATATCTCCCCATATGCCGATAGAAAGACACCACTTTTCTTCACTTATTACGTGTTGTTGGTTGATGTGTGGAGAGATAACATTTTAAATTTCGAATTTTTCACACGGTGCACTGGTACAGTATCAGTTATACATTTACATATACAGGGCGTCTCAAAATTGATGGGACATAGGGCTGCCACGTGTATAATGTGTAATAGGCCCAAATGAATTGATTGAAAAGTATACACAGAAAATAATTTTGTACGTAAAGTTAATGAACGGCAGTCGTCAATTTTTTGAACATTAATATTACGAATCGATGAATATTACAATCATTTCTGATGATGGGTTCATACCGCAAGACACTGAAACAATGAACGAGCCAACATTGAACAATGAACGAAAAACATCAAAAGTTAATCATTTTTTTTATTCATGTGATGAAAAAATTCATTGAATCAACGTTTGATGTTTATTGATCTATGTTTTTCATCATTGGAGCAATAAACTTTTCGTCATAGATCTATCAACAACAAACATAAGAAAATAATTAATGGTTTTCATTGTTTCAATGAACACCAAACGTTGATTTCATGAAATGAAACATCAACTTCCAAAACAGGCGCCAAATTAATGCTGCCTACCCATGGATCAATCACGCCAAACATTATTACTATGAAAAGGTTTAATAATACGCGGTGAATTTTTCATTTGCCGTTTTATTTTATTTCTATTCGTTCAGTTGTTAATGAAAAGTTGAAAGGGCTGGGTCGTGTTTTGTGTTTCTGTGGCTCGTAGAATTCCTACCTATTTGTGAAATTGTGCCAGATCATCAAAGGGATACAAAACCTAACATATTTGAGAAAGGTGAGACCTGTTAATTGCGATTTTTGCAATTTTCAGGAATTTAGGAATTTTAAGACATTTTTGCGATTTTTGCAGTTTTCAGGATTTTTTGCAATTTTTGCAATTTTCAGAAATTTTTGCAATTTCCAGGCATTTTTGCGATTTTTGCAATTTTCAGGAATTTTTTGAATTTTTACAATTTTCCGGAATTTTAGCAATTTTCAGAAATTTTTACAATTTTCCGGAATTCTTGCAATTTTCAGGAATTTTTGCGATTCCTGCTATTTTCAGGAATTTTTGCGATTTTTGCTATTTTCAGGAATTTTTGAAGCAGAAATGCTTCAGAAAATATGCAAATATACTGGGCATTCCAATTAAAAAAATTGATTGAGATGTTACCAGATCTAGTAACCTAACCTAAGATATGTTACCAGATCTAGTAACCTAACCTAAGATATGTTACCAGATCTGGTAACCCAATCTAAGATATGTTACCAGATCTGGTAACCTAACCTAAGATATGTTACTAGATCTAGTAACCCAACTTAAGATATGTTACCAGATCTAGTAACCTAACCTAAGATATGTTACTAGATCTAGTAACCTAACCTAAGATATGTTACCAGATCTAGTAACCTAACCTAAGATATGTTACCAGATCTGGTAACCCAACCTAAGATATGTTACCAGATCTAGTAACCTAACCTAAGATATGTTACCAGATCTGGTAACCCAACCTAAGATATGTTACCAGATCTAGTAACCTAACCTAAGATATGTTACCAGATCTGGTAACCCAACCTAAGATATGTTACCAGATCTAGTAACCTAACCTAAGATATGTTACCAGATCTAGTAACCTAACCAAAGATATGTTACCAGATCTAGTAACCTAACCTAAGATATGTTACCAGATCTAGTAACCTAACCTAAGATATGTTACCAGATCTAGTAACCTAACCTAAGGTATGTTACCAGATCTAGTAACTAAAAATGTATAAGGTGAGTGCATTTTTTATACGTCCATGGGTGAGCGAATATTTGTTTTGTGAATATTGTCCAAGTTTCTCAGTCTTCGATCATTTAGTGTATTTTTGACATTTCGGAAACATTTTTAGTTGACTTCATTGAAAAATATTCATTACATTTGTTATTCAATACAATTAGGTAGATTTCAACAAAAAATAAAGAATAATGATATTTCATCAAGGAAACCAGTGTTCTGCGACTGCCTTGTGAATGTTTATTATATTATTCATCAGGTCACATCAAATTAGTGGATGTACTAGATAATTTTGGACCGATTTTGGGTTTTTCAAAATTTTAGAAATTAATTACTCTGATGCGTGAAAAAATTGTCCTCTTATTTCTGATAGTGACGATACTGTTGACAACATTATCTTCGACGACGACTCCACTGTTAAATACCAATAGAATTTGTTCGTTACATCGATAACTGGCGAACATAGTTTCATGCTTATTTTTCATTGATTCAATGAAGAAAATCATCAAGTGATGTCTATCGTTCGAAATATCAATAACCGCCGATCATAGATCCATGCTAGCTGATTATTGATTCAATGTTCAGCTGTAATAAACTGAGTCTGTCCTTCGTAACTGGCACTTACATATTCATGCTCACTGCAGTGAGCATGTTAATTGATACAATGTACATCAACCATAAACCAATGTTTATCATCATAGATCCATGCTCGCTGTTTATTGATTCAATGTACAACAACCATGAACCAATGTAAATCCATTCGTGATATCAATAACCGGCAAACATAGATCCATGACCATTATTCGTTGATTCAACGTATGTACTGCAGTCATAACTTTATCAACAAGAAGATTTACGTACGACCGTTCATTGTATTAATGACACCCGTCATCGACCCAAAATTAATGTTGACGTTTTCTGATTTGATGTACTTTTTTATTAATATAACGTACCTTTTTCGTTCTGTGTATCCCCCCCAAGGTACACTTCTGGTACGCCACTTATTGACGGGGTGGAAAGGATTTGTTATTCTAGCGGGACACTGTGACGAAAACTCTGACGTAGACTGTTTGACGTATGGAAGTTAAGATGTTGACATACTTCTGAACTATAACTTGAAACGTCGAAAAGCAGCGAAAAAACGTGATAATAACACTAATACATCGTGACACAAAATAGTTAAAGAATTTCTCAAATTTAATATACTGTAAGTGTCGCCCTCTAGAAGTGACATCTAAACTAAGAACGGATTTGAATTTCTCGCCTCTGAAAACCTCCTAATGCCAAATCAAGCAGTGCCATTATTGTCACCTTGTTGATGAATTATTAAGAAAAAACGAAATTTACATTGAAACTTTGTTGGTATCAACTTATGGACTGAGTTATAAGTTTGGCTAAATCTCAATATTTTCATAAAGAATCCTGAGTATACCATAAATTAGCGGACACCATATTCCGAGCGTATATCTAACCTTAGATCTATCTGATCTATCTAACTAAAATGATATGGGAAGCATTTGAAAATAAAAAGGAGTCGCGGGGAATGTGTATAATATGTATATAAAACACATTTTCCGCATTCTATTTCCGAATATGAGGTTTCCATTGACGTAAAATCAACTAAAAAATCGATCAACTTCTACATACAGCATATTTGTGACGTATGTGAAAATTGAATTGAAGCCAAATTCATGGCGATATACATTTTATTTCAATTTTTATTAACGTTTTACAATTCATACTAGTAACAAATATCAACTGTTCAATATCAATCAATATATCGATACACATTCAAGGTATATTGTTTTATTCATTTTATATAAATGCAGCCAGTGAAATAGGTTTTATGTATGTATACCTATGTAGAACTTTCCACAACGTTTTTAGAGTGTTTTGAAATTAGACTACTTATTGAAGAAGATCATGGATAAGTCCGAAACGGGGGTTCTCAGACCCATGTTATCATATATTATGGCAAAAAATTCATCATATAAAATATTTAAGGTAACGGAGGTACAGGTATTTAATGGTTCAAGAAGACTTCAACTTTCCAACTATGAAACAATTTGTTTACATTTCCTAAAAAAAAACGCAAAAAGCCGTTATTAGTTCAGCATTCTACAGTTACGTTATTTCATCAGAAACACTAATCAAAACTTTTTTTTACATTTTCAACCTATTATTTATCGTTTCAAAGTGAACCAAAAAACTTTAGGAGGGAAATGCATGAAGCATTAGACCAAACAACTTATCTTGGCGAGATATATACCGTGTTAAATAAAACAACTCACTTTT